TATGATTTAACAATGCTATATATTATATTTATTTATTATTATACAAATTAAATTTTTATATAATTAATACAGTATATAATTATTGTAAAAGATCAATATAAAATTGGTCCAATATGAAGTTAATTAGTATTTTTTATAATTATTAATCACTGGCAAACTTTAAATACTAATTGATCTCAAAAATATAATTATATATAGATTTTTCAACTCTTTCCGATAATCACTTGGTCTAAATTTTTCTGAAAAAACACTCAACAAAAACAGTAAAAACTGACCTTCAGTTTATAAGTTGAAGAAAGAAGAGACTGTAAGACAGCAACTATCGTTTAAAGATAGTTCTCATATGCTATCTGCTGACAGTTTTAGAGTTTATCACTTACTGCAGACCTGGCGCTTATACGCTACCTGCCGACAAGTTCAGAGTTTATCACGCACTGACAAAATTCAAGTAGTGCACTGTCTGGAGGAAGGCTGTCTTTGTTGTTTTTAGTAACTCACTCTCCTTTAAGTGGTATCAAGAGGTCTCTTTCTCATTTTCATTTTTTGCCGTTCTCACCAAAATTTTCGACAAAAAGTGGGCTTTTTGGCTTACCCCCTCCAAAAGAGCAGCATTGTTTACACCTACCAAATTGGAATGAACTCAGTAGAAGGCAACCATGTGTTTTATTGTTTTGCGAATATAGTGTTACAGTATGGGGAAGAGATTTACACCCCGTTTAGAAGATACCTGAGTTGAGTCGGTGCCCGGAACAAGTCCTAAAGCTAAACCGAAGGTTTATAATCAAGATATAGTAATTAGTTGCAATTATTATATAATTTTTACTCTTATGCCTAGCACAGGCTATAATAGTGTATCATGGCTACCTTTCTTTTTTTTTGCTTTTTTCATCTTTGTTCATTTATATTAGACTATTTTAGAATTTGTTGAAAAGTTTTTTTTTCCTACCGTGAGGTGTTTTTTTTTCTAAAATGTTTATGTCTTTCATAAACATGGCTTTGTTTTTTTTACTTTTATGTACGAATAAGGGTTTTAATTATATTGTCGGGCTTAGGTGGAAGAAGTCTGAAAGAAGGGAGAGGTGGTCATAATGGGTAGCAAGGTCCACTGTTGAGAGCCGGGTCATATCTAATTGCAGGAGAGGTCCAAAAGGAGGGAAATCTTGCTATAGCAGGTCGAACATAGGTGCCAAGTTAGTAACCGGGTTAGTCTTAACTTGTAATTTAGATAACAATGTGGGCTATAGCACTTGTTGTTTAGAGATAGTTCTTATACACTATCTGCTGACAAGTTTAGAGTTTATCACTTACCTTCTAAAATGTCTAGTTGTAAAATTTTATATATTCTAGAGAAATTGTACAAAGCCTAATAAAGCTAAGGCATGATTGCCAAATTATTAAAAAAAAAAAAAAATACTAATTAATCTCATATTGAAACCAACCTTATATTGGTTCTTTACAATTACTTATATAATTAATTAATAAAGATATGAGCAAAATTTTATCTTAATATCAAAAAATATATAAGCAAGATCTTATTTTAATATCAAAATATATATATATAATAAATAATTTAAATTGTATTTTTTTTTTTAATTAGATAATCAACCAACTTTTCCTAATGATCACTCATATCAAAATTTCAACTAATGAAAAATATAACTTTTGTTGGAGAGATATAGCTTTATAGTACGGTTTGTTTAGAGGTCAACTGTTTTTCTAAAAGACTTTTCTAAAAAGAATATTCGGCATACAAACCAAAAGCAATATTATACAAAATAACTAGCAGGCAGTGCTCTTGTGTAAAAAATCTTGGTAAAGAGAGAGGCAAATATATCTTTATTACTACTTTGTTAATGAAGCTTGAAGACTGTTACTTCAAAGAAAGATACAGAAAATACAACAAAAGTTTTGGACTTCAACATACTCCTTAAAAATTTTAAAAGTACTTGCAACTGAAGACTTTCTACTATATTTTTGCTATTTTGAAATTTTAGAAATTTTGTTCAAAAAGTGAAAAATTTGGTGTATTCTCTTCAAAAAAATCAGCATCTACTTTTTTCAAATTAGAATGCGTTTATCAAAATAGAATCTGCTACAAGCTTATTTGAGTACTGCTTCTTGAATAATCAATAACAGACTATAAAGAATTAGAGGATTACATGTAGAAACTTTTAATTGTTAAGTGATTTTTTCTTTTCTTTTCTTCTTATTATATATAATATTAGAGTAGATTTTATTTTCTATACAGTCTATATAATTTATATAGCCTAGTACAAACAAAAATAGTATCATCATGGTTGCCTTTTTTTGTAACTTTTTTTTTTTTTTTTTTTTTTACTTTTAGTTTATTTTTTTACTTATTTAGTTTAGTTTGTTCTTACTTTTTCTTTTATTTCTTAATTTTCTGTTATTCTTTGATAGATTACTTCTATCTAAAAGACTAAGAGAAAAAAGTTGGAAAAGAAGATGGTTATAATGGGCTAATAAACCAGGCCAGTGATCTGGGGTGATTCTTTTTATAATAAATTGAAACTAAACTGGTAAGGCTAAACTAATTATTAGCAGATTGCATATAGATATCAATAGTATTTAGATATTTAAAATAACTAAGTAAGCTATTATTTAGTTTTTTTGTTATTAAAAGTATAGTGTAATTGGTTATTTTTTAGGATGATTTTAATATATTAATAAAGCAAAGATGACAAATATGTAGTCAACTCTTTCTGACGATTATTCAGTCCAAAATTCTTACAGAAGAAAACCACAAATTTTGTTGGAGAGTCGTGGTCTAATACAGTGGTTTGTCTAGAGGTCAACATATTGGCTAACAGGACTCCTCTATAGGTGACATTCGGCATGCAAACCAAGAGTGTTATTATACAAGATAACTGGCAGGAAATGCCCTTGTTTAAAAAATTTTGGTGAAGAAGAAAACTCTTTGGACACCCTTTTTCTCCATTAACGAAGCTCTTAAGCTGTACTTCTTTGAAGACACTAGGAAACAACAAAATATTCTGTTATCTGGCAAACTCATATGATCATGAAAAAATTTCTTCTTGTTATTTTTTTCATGTGTTACGATATAATTATGTTATTCCAATATTCAAAAAATAAACTCCGCGAGTGACTCCCTACCAATCATGATTATAAATTGCCGGATAACACCAATATTGGGCAAATTGTCGAATACAGTAATTTGACAAATGATTGGTACACATACTGCTTTGCGGTACGTGCTCATTTGCCAAATTACCGTTATTCGACAATTTTTGCCCAATATTGTATACTTATTTTCTTCAAGCCGCACTCTTTTTACTTGGTCAAGTGGTATTTTTTTACTCTCTTTCATCCTTCTGTTGGTCTTCCAAAAAATTTCAACAAAAAGTGGGAATTTGGCTTACCCCCTCCAAAAGATCAGTATTGTTTACTTTCCAAATTCGGACAGATTAGCGGAATACAACCACGTGTTTGTTTATGGACGAATATGGCACTTTTTTATGAGATTCGATCTGGGAACTCTAATTACGGCAGCAGGTGGCTTGAGACACAGGTTCTCGGATGATGGCAGCACCTGGCTTGAGATATGAATTAGGACGGGCAACGAAGCTATCCGGAGTTGGTAGAAAGGTCAGAAAGTAAATTTAATATTAAGACGAAGCTTTATAGTAGAGATATACAAATGTTGCATTTGTTATATAATTTTTATTAGCCATGCACGGGCTATAATAGTGCCTTCAGGGTTTTAGATTTCTTTTTATGTTTTTTTTTTTTCGCAATCAAGATTTTTTTTTTTTGTTTTTTCTTTTTTTCTAGTCGTTTTTGTTATTGTTTTTTGTTTAAAAATTTCTCCTCTTTGTCTTGTGCCCCTTGAGAAGAAGGAAGAATTAGAAGGGAAAGAAGAAATCCTGACGTGGTTTACAACATCCAGTTAAATAATCGAGGGGGTATCCTTTGTCAATACAAAATCTGAAGCGAGTTTTGGATCCTTTTGAGAGACTAATATTGTTATAGCAGGTCACATTGGGCAGTACTTAGTACGCTTGGTAAGTTTCTATTAGAATAGAGCATTATACTATCTCGGTGGTTATTTATGTAATTAATTATATAGTAGTTTATAAAATAAATAAAAGCAGGATTGCTTAAATACAATAAATAAAGCAAAGATGATGACATAATCATCAATTTATCAAAAAAAATAATAAAATTTATAGTTACAAATTTTAATTTTAATTTTTGAATTAATTTTTTTGTAGCTACGGTTACATGTAGCTATACTATCAATATAGTTCTTTTATAAAAAAATTTTGTAGCTATATTATATTAGAGTTAAGGTTAAGATTAAGATTAGAGTTAGGTTAGATTAGATTAAAGTTTGGATTTAAAATTAAATTAAAGTAAAATTGTAAAAAGAGCATTTTTACTTAATTATACAACAGGGTTACCCTAGTAAAATTTTAAATTATTATAGAATTATTGAATTTGGCTACATGTAGCCATGGCTATAAATAAATTAATCCTTAATTTTTATAAAGATTTAAAAATTTTACTATAAAAATTTTGCTTAAATTTCAAATTTAATTAATAAGTTTTTAAAAAAAAAATATTGCTAACTTGCCTTTCTGGTAATTTAACTACTCCTACAATTTGCTAATTATATTGCAGAATCTTGTATAACAAAATAAAAAAATTTTTAAAAAAAATTTAAAAATTAACAATATTGCAAAATTTTATTACAAAAACTAGTTATAAGCTATTAAATAAAGTTTCCAGTACTTAATTTTGCATATAAATAAACTACATATTAACTTAATATAACCAGTATTCCAACTTTAATTTTTAAAAATATTTATTTATATAAAAAAATTCTATAAAAATAAGTTAAAATTAGTTAAATTCTTAAAAAAATAATAATAATATTTAATATTATATAGTATTTTTATTAAACTAAACTAGATTAAACTTTATTAAATTTTTAAACCAAACTTAAATATTTTAAATTTTTAATCAAATTTGAGTTTAAGTTTAAGTTCAAATTTACAATTTAAAAATATACTATTTTTAGATATTAAACAAATTTTCCTAAAAAACAATTAAAATTAAGAAGTTAAATAGATGTCGTATCTCTGCAATGTACTTGTAGGCCAATAAAATTTCAAGATTATGTGTATGTAATATGATTAGAAATATTCAAAACAAATGTTCATTTTGACAAAAGTCATTATAACTCAAATTTCACATATGAAACTGTCCTTTGCTTTATAACAAAAAAAATTCCTTGCAAAATTTTACTATAAAGCTCTCTTCTTACACACCCTAACCCTATCAAACCTTAACTTTAATCATATATAAGCACATCACAGAGTGCGATACATACATTTATCCTAAAATTAATTAAAAATTATAAAATTTTATTACATAATAAAAATACCAGTGCTTCAATTTATTTTTTAAAACTTTAATGTTAAAAAACTTTATATAAATATAATATAATATATATATATACTATAATAACAATTACAAACTTTAAAAATAAAAATAAAAATAGTATAATAGATATAAAATTCTATTATCACTACTAACTGCTAGAATTCAACTATAAATTTATGCATACATTTGATCTCTTTTTTCTAAACTATCTTTTATTGCTTCTTTTACAATTTTAGCTTCTTCATGAGCATGTTGTTTAATTTTTTTTTCTTCTTTAAGACGTTCTTCTCGTGCCTTCTCTTCGGCTTTACGAACTTCATCTACTGAAGTATGAACTTCTTCAGGAGCAGTCTTTTGCTATAATCAAATTAAATAATTATATTAGAAGTCTTTTATAAAGAAGATTAATCATCAAAAATTATCAAATACAATACCGTATCATCAAGATCCATTTTTTTTTTTATTTAGAGAAAATGTAGTTTGAAAAAAATTTCTTTTGAAAGTGTAAATTTAAAGTATTTATGGGAAATAAAAATATTTGTTGTTGGGAAATGAAGTAGGTACGTGCCCTTTTTATAAAAAAAACGAAAAAATCGAAAGTTTATGATTGTTAAATATTACGACATTATAACAATATCGATATATATACTAAATATTACGACATGATATTATAAACGACATTAAATGATCTCATGATTATTATCAGGGCACAAAATGTAATGTGATTTTTCTCATTTATCATAACGACTTCCGGCTATGATTTATTAAGTTAACGTTAACAGTTCTGCAGTTAGAGATTAAAATTTAATTTAACGGGTACTGACATCATGTGATAAGGTTATTTCTTAAACGCGCGTTCTTTCAACTTTAAACGTTAAAGCTTGTGACGATATATGCTATGAATAGATAATATCTGAACCTAACCGATTATAGATATTCGGTTACGCGAAACTGCGGAAAGCGACTATAAAGGTTTTTATAGATTTTTTTTACTTTTTTTTTTTTTTTTTTTTTTTTCACGTTTGTAAAATGCGCAAAGTAGAGTCATCATAAATATAAGAACTAAGATAAATAATACATTGTTTTCGATAAAAACCAGTTAATAAACAAGCTGGCACCACTAGCTTCTTCAACCCTGGCGCCGTCACCTGTTTTCACATTTGCAGCAGCTGCCGCGTTCCCTTCACCAAATTCCACATCTATCACCTCGTCATCTACTCGGTGGGTACGAAGGCTGCATCTCAGACAAAGATACTATAGAGAGCTAAATTTGTTATTTAATCGAATGGTACAAGCTGGAGTGAATAACAGCAACGATAGTAGTAGTAGTCAAGATACTAATGATAACGTTTCTTCGACAACCTCTACAACAACGCAAAGAAACACACAGTTTCAAGACAATGAACAAAATATACGTTCACGAAGTAAAGCAGTCTGTAAATTAAATTGTACATATTGTAATTCAAGAGTGTGTGTGAGGGGAATGAAGGTAAGCGATCGTATGAAAACCTACCTGTTGGGTATTTTGTGTACCTGAATATGATTAATGAGTATAAATAGTATAAATGGCGGTGAATTAAGATAGAAAGGGTGGGTAATTTACAGAGTATTTGGATATTTGGGTGATAGAGATCTGACAATTATTTAGGCTATGCTTCTTGCTGATACAAGAGTCGAGCTTTATTCTACAGATGTACCGCCATTATCGTACGTATTTATTGTGATAGCTTATGTTGAGATTGGCTTAAGCTGAGATTTTAACATAGAATAAATATAGAAAGGTTCTTTTTTAGGGGTAGAATTAGGATAGAAAGATTATAATATAGTTAACAAAGAGTATACAGTATATGAATTTAAATTGATATTGGTAGATATTATAGATTTAACCAGTCTCAGCATAAGCCTCTCACATATACTAAATTCAATGTATTATCAAAATGGTTAATTTATCTAATCTAATCTTTTTTTTTTTTTTTTTGAACAGGGTACAATTAATCGGCGAAGATTATTTAACACAAAATTGTCATTGTAAGATCCGTGATGTGGCATGCCTGACTTGGTAGATATTTTTTTATTAAGATTAATTAATAGGGAATTTTTTTTGAAATAAATTTATATAATTTTAATAAATGGTTCTATTCATAGTGGAAATGTTCTTGGATATCATATCACTCAACCATGTCAACAATGTATGGATGCATGTAATAATGGACACCTCTGGATGTTTCACACTGAGGAAGTCACGAGTGAAGAACGACTGGACTTTAATGGTATGCAATACAATTTATTTATACAATATTTAAATTCATTTTCGAATATTAACAATCATAAATAATAATTATGATTATATTATGATTATATTCTTAGGAAATACAGTACTATTATGGACACATCTGTCTCAAGCAGAAGATGATGTTGCGATTGTGAATGTGGAAGAAGATGAATATGAACATTGCTGCCGATGAGTGAAGATTAATAAAAGTGATTAAAGATGATTACTCTATTAAAATTAGCTTGATGCTTTTTTCTTTAACGATATATAGCCGGTTCTTTTTATGTATAATCATAACGGCTAAGATGCATTTAGATCATAATTTTGGTTTATAGTAAATTTAGGAAATGATTTTAATTCGACTGGTCGAATAAAAAAATCAGATTATGAAAATTGGTGTAACAATTATATGGTCTATATATTAAGTATACTCGTAAAATTTTTTAGAGTATATAGTTGTTTTTTAGAATTAATTTTAGGATAGGATCCAGTTTGCACGTGTACCTTTTTTTTTTTTTTTATGCATGCACATTAACTAGAAATTTAGAGCATTGATGACATTGCTTCTGCATCGCATAAGTTTTGAAATTTTAAAAATTTCTTACATTTTTTTTAAAAAATTCATAACGGTCAGTATACAAGAAATTAATTGTGCTTATTAATGCGCATGACAGTCATTAATACTTGGTCATATGGGGAATGCCATCGCACGATTGTATGGGTATTACTAAACTAAATTTAGTAAACCAAATTAGTATAGCCCACACAACTGAATGTAATAAATGTCATATGAATTATATATGAATTATATATATATATCGCATAGTAGCATACATAGTATCACAAGTTGATTATATAATCCATACACCTTGATAATTTCACTAGAGGCATATACAGCTTATGTGATAGGAAGGCGCATGTTACACTAAAATTTCAATCCAACCAAAATTATTAAAAAGAAGAGGGCCGAGAAAGTTCCGAGCAGCTTGGTCTGTGTGTCACGGGAAAAAGTTAAAACGACAAATGTTTTAGTTTTAGTACAGAAATATTTGTTTTGTGGCACCGGCCCGACTTTTACTCGTGACATCTACATGTACTGAAAAAAGAAAGAGAAAAAAAAAGTTACAGTATTTGTTTTTTGCTTATACGACGTATCGATATCGATATAGTTTAAAAGAGTTAAAAAGTTAAAATGCGCCACATTACCCCAAAATTAAATGACAAATTGACCATACGTAGTAATAACCCTGGCCAAGAAAAAAGTGATCGATTTTAATTTTAAGATTTGACAAAGCAGTAACTTTTGATCTGATTAAATATTTATTTATTGATCTGACTGTATGATAGAGTTTTTTTTTTTTTTTAACATTTTATGATTCGTAACAAAACTATCTTGTCACACCTATATGAGTAATACAGGGAGAGAAACTTTCTAAAAATATCCTTTATTAAATGTAAGATAAAAAAACTTTGAGAATATAGTTTCGTGTATCTAAGACTCGGCATTCTTTTTAACAACAAACAGTGTTTAAAGTTTTTTCTTTTTTTCGCAAGGGCACGGACTTTACAAAAATAGATATATTTAAAAGTCAGTATAAGATGGGGTAATATATTGTGTATTTCGATTAAATAAAATTTTTTTTTTTTTTTTAAAAAAAATTATATATTTATTTGTTTGACAAAAATTATTAAGTTTATTAAGTTTATTAAGTTTATGTAACAAAAGATTAAATAATCAGGTAGGACCATTCCATATGCATCGAAGTTTTACAAAATTTTTACTGTGCAAAATTTTCAAAGATCATATGATTATTTCATTAATTCGGGATAAACTTTTTGTTTATACCATAAAGAGATGTCAAAAAATGGATGAGCAAAGTAAAAATTAATCTGTCAAAAAAGATGTCAATTTAAATAAATCAAGAAAAGATTGAGAATGTTGTACTAATTATATGTGATGCTATATTAAATCCTTATTAGGAATGATACGAAGATACTATACTAGAATATATAGTATGAAATATATAGTACTGAAATATATAGTACGTATTAAAATACAGTATTAAAATACACTATTAAATAATACAGTATTAATACAGTATTAAATAATACATATTAAATATACAGTATTAAATACAGAAATATAGACGTATATCGATGTATATCTATGTATATATATGATATATATGAATGGTACGTATACACTGTATGAATATATGCATGGTGCCCACATTTTTGCCAAAGATTTTCTAAAATCGAAATCGTCGGAACTTATACCGGATGAAGATCTCCGGGTGAATTTATTTTTTTTTAGGTAATGACAATAAATAATGTACGCACGTACGTATGAAAATTTTATATAAAATGGAAAAAATGAAAAAAATGGGGAGAATTTCATCGCGTATCGGTAATGCAATTACACATTACATTAAGCATTAAATACAACTTTATTGAATTAACTAGTCTCCAGACCAGATTTTTGATAAAAAGGCGTTTATAAATAAAAAATCTTATTTTTATAAAAAATCTTAATTTTTTTTTAAATCCTAGATTATTTTTTATTTTTGGAATTTTCAAGATAATTTCAAGAAATTTTGCAGACTATTAATGATAAAGTTTGGTAAAGATTTTCCTATTCCATTTTTTTTCTATTTCGGATACGCACGTACGTATTACTATTTCATATCAGATATCATTGCTCTCGACTAATGATATTAAAGAACCAATCACGTTTCACTTATTTTACCCTTTGAATAAACAAAGAAAAAAAAAAAAATCGATAAATTTGATAATTTAATAACCAAAATGAGAAAGAACTTAATTCTAAAAGATGAATTTATCGTGAAGTAATATTGACGCGTGTCTTGACTTAAATGTATGAGAGGTTCATAATGACGAATGATTTGCGTAAATGAGGAATATTCAAAGTTTGAAAAAATTATTTGTCCTCGTGATACAGAAAAGATAATGATTGGATATTTATAATCGTTGATCAACATCTCTGAAAGAAGATCAAATATCGAATGATATTCAACGAGAATCGATCATCAATGCGCTTCATCTTTTTACTGAACGGGGTGCATTATTTATTAGTCATATTGTGCCATAAAAGATGCATAAATTCGTAGAACATTTATAGATATCATTAATCTGTAAAAGAATGACCAATAGATGTGAGTTATTTACATAATGTAAAGCACTTACGGTACATAGTGCGTATCAGGTATGTATGTAGCAAGATTTTAAAGAGTTCTCTTCTTTTCTAAAAAAATCTATTAACGTTAACGGTAATTGTCAAGTGCTTTTTCACGAAAATCAAACTTTAAATAAAGGGCTCTTTGTCATCTTAAAACGGCACTTATGAAATTAAGGAAAGAAAACGCCAAAAAAACTTCAAATTCGGTCAATTTCTGCAATTTAAAATAAAATTTTCAATCGGAGTGCAAACTAAACTTAAAACCCGATCTATGCGATAAAGGGGGCCAGAATCTTTCGTCTTCCAATTTTATCAATCAACCATGTTAAAGGGCAAAAACTCGCATTTGCATTTTACATATACTAATTATTTTCGCATAAACCCGCATTATTTAGAAAAAAAAAAAAGCGAGAAAAAAAAACTTTAATGATTTTTGAATTTCAAAGAGCTATCATTTTACAAATTTGATTTTTTTTTTTTTTTTTTTTTTTTTTTTTGACTTTCTCTTTTTTCTGTTTTTTTTTTTTTTTAGTTTTTTAAGTTTTAAGTTTTTTTTTTTACCGGTCAGATTATATATATAAATGCAAAATAAAAAAATGCAATAATGATATGATGATTTTTTTTACATTGATTTTTTGTGGAAAAAAAAATGGGGTATATGCAAAAATATATAAAGTATATAAAGTGAAAAGGACGGGATTAAAAAAAGGATGTCTGTGCTTGTACATTTACAATGCCTGAAATGCCTATTTTGGTATTAAAAAAAAAAAATAAAATTATATATATTAAAAAGAAAAATAAAATTCAAAACTTTTCCGAATTTTAAAATGCGAAAATTAACATGAATTAAAAAAAAAATTTCTTTTTTGATTTGGTTGTATACATCGATATTATACGATAATAATTATTAGATTAAATTTAATATTATATAAACTACAAAAAATTTTTGTATTCCTTAGCATAGAAACCTAGAACACTTTATTAAACCAAAGGGGAAAGATAAAATGTACTAGATTATATTAAATAAACAATCGAAGAAGCAAAAATCAATGAAAAATTGAAACATAACCTAGAAAAGTATGGCAAACAGTGTGTTTTCGAGGGGCAAAACAAATACCGTAGGTATGTTTTTGTTGCCTAGCTTCACTTTTCTGCAGAACATAAAATAAGGTTATGAAACTGCACATTAAAGGACTTGTGCGATTAAAAAAAAACCTCCAATAATAACATTCTCTCATTGAAAGGCCACACGAGAGAGCCAGGTTAAAAAAAAAAATAAAAATAATTATAGAAGATATATTTTTGTGAATTTTTCATTTTTTTGTGTTTTTTTTTTTCTTTTTTTCATTTTTTTTTTTTTTTTGTTATAAATATAATGATCTTATTGTTTGCGTCTTCATTTTGCTTCTTCTTTCCATAAAATGTAAATAATATCATATATGGGAATGCATGTATGAATGCAAATGGCTTATGAATTTTTTTTACAAATGAAAATGTAAATGTTAACCTAGAGAAAAAGAAATTAAATATGAGAATACATTATATTATATTATATTATATAAATAATAAATCTTTTTTTTTTTTAAAAAAAAAAATATATATATATATATATATTTACAAATTTAAAGATTTAATAGAATCAGAAAGTTACCTTAATTTTTTTAGATAATATTAAGCATAGAGGAATGCAAATGAATGTAAAAGTTTTGTAAAATTTTGTAGTGATTGTGATTTTTTCGAAATTTTTTTTGTTTATGTTTGTGTTTGTGAGTTAGCCAAAATCGAATTGAAAAAAAAGATATAAAACGAAAAATTAAGCGAAATTATAGATTTGCCGGTGCAAATCTAATCCATCATCAATAGTATTTATCGAGTTTCACGAAATGTTGGTTGCGAATAAACTGTTCATCAGCCGAGATAAAGTTAAGTGAAGCCATATTATCATATTGATCAAAAGCATCAATATAATCTCCCATTCCAAGGTATTCCATGGCTTCTCCCGGCGCGGGAGGATTTGTATCAAATACATTGAAATCAATCATGCCACCAGATGTTGTCATTGGAGTATTTACAAAGGTTGTTGCTGTTGCAGATACTGGACTACCATCATATGAATGGGAATCATCCATATAAGGATAATCATATTTTGCCATCGAAGAGTCCATATATTGTTGAGGGGAACCATTTAATGGACTGTCTGCATACAACAATTGTTGATGTTGAGGGTGTTGTAGGATATTAATGTTGTGGTTCAACATGGTGGTTGGTGTATAAATCTCGGAATTTTCACCATCAGTTGATATTGAAGAGACACGCCTTGGGAAAAATGCTGAGGCGTCAATCATAGATAAGTTGTTAGAAGATGGAGTAGAACTTTGAGCTGATGGTGAATCTTCTCGTGGTTGAATCCTTCGCTTTCTTTCTTGAGGTCTTCTTGGGCGATACCTATATTCTGGATACTTCTTCATATGTTCCTGTTTAGCAGCATCCGCCATTTTTTGGAATTTAGAACGAACTTCTTGAGGTTCTTCATGCCACATTCTGCCGATTTCCTTAGAAACTTCGTTATTAGTGATACCTTGATTTTTAGCAACTATTCCAGGTTGCTTTGCTCTTCTGTAAAGGATAAAAGCATTTGGTGGTCTCGGAGGTTTCTTAATCTTGGTCTTTGAATTTGTAGAAGTGGTTTTGGGAGTAGGTCCCGCAACACCACATGGAAGAGCGAAAGAAGGTAATCGAACATCAGTATCGGGAAGCATCCTTGGGACATTTGGTGCTGCAGACACTGGTTTTGCATTTTCAAGCAAATTTGTCACAGATGTAGCTTTAGCATCATTAGGAACTAGAACAGGTTCAAAACCTTCAGGGATAAAATATAGAGTTCCTTTATTTTGTTCATATAAGTCTTGAACTCTATCATATGACAGATACTCGAAACTAGGAACAGGGTTTCCACCCTTTGAAGTTTTGTATTGAGGTTGTGGAAGTTGAGGAATAAAGGTCTCTTGATCACAACCTGTCGCCACGTTATTTGAAGACATTGGACTGTTGGCGTTACTAATATTCTCGCTGCTTTTATTGATATTTTCTTTACGAGGAGAAGTAGGGGCTATGGCCGAGAGTCGTCTGGTCTCACTGAATACCTGCTGCGCAGTACTAGCAGAATACTCTGACATTAAATATCTCAGCGAAGGATAGTAAAAAAAATATATTCAAGCTGTCAAGAAAAAAAAAAAAAATGACACCAGGTCGGTGGTTATATAGGGAAAATAAATTTAAAGAATGACAGTTTGAAAAAAACAGCGGATTTTAGTTATATATTTCTATATATATATATCGTCGTAAATATAGGTAAAAAAATACTGTATATATATATACAGAATAGAATAATATAGGTCTATAGAGGAAAAAGAAAACGCAACAACAAAAATGTTTTTTTTTTGGGGGGAAGAATTTTATCAATTTTTTTTATATAAACTTATTTTTAACTTTAAAAATATGTATGGTAAAATACAGTATATGCTTATCTAGTGTAAAAAAAAAACCTGATTCCTCGTGCCACGTTTCTCCGCGGTTCGGTGTCTCACAGCCTCTGCAAAGTTTCAGATAACAGAGACGATCAAATAATATATTTCAGCTCGGAAAAGTTTTTCACATGTACCACATATCATATATGCACACGCTACTCATTACAATTAATTAGGCGGGATCATCAACATTAAAATCCATTAAAATTCAGAAGTTTATTTTAGAAGTTTTTATAACATAAATAAAAAAAAAATAGATAGATATATATATATATATATATATATATATAATATTATATTATTATAAAATATATTTTTATATATATTATATTAATACATTGCCACAAAAGCCACAGTTCATCGATGTTTTCTTAGGAGTATATAAAAATACGGAAGCTTGTGAAAATAGTATGATAATGAAAATTTGGGAAAAATCTTTTTTTTTAATATATAATTCGTTGTTCTCCGAGCAGTTGTACCTGTGTTACGACCGGTTTGCGCTCTTGTTACCTTTGACTAGATCCTTTTGATGTAGGAGTTCTTTATCCTTGCTGTCCTTCCTGTCCAGTTGACATATTTACCCCCCAAATCGTTGCCCTAAATTTACCCCACAAATTACGTTCATACATCTCGAAACATCTCTCAATGTCTTCTAAGGATAACAAAATAGCCTAATGATGATAATGATGTTATGCGGTCAGATGCCATTCCATTAATTAATGCAGTAAATGCTATCTATATGCAGCGACCTTGATAGTTTACGTTAGCGTTAGTTGTAATAATGCAGAACTAGCTGTCGGCGATATGTGTGTTAGAATAGCCGATAGAATTACTGAATTACTGAAATATTAGAAATTACATAAACATATCTATAAACGTAATAAATTCGGTTCACGTGACGGGCATTATAGTTACGCAATAAGACTAGTTTAATTTTTATAAGCCATTGCATCAATTGCATCACCCGAACTATGATCATTATAGTTATTATAGTTATATATATTTTTAAATTTTTATAATTACTATATCATCATATCTATAACGATAAATCCGAATTTGTTTTTTATTTATTAGCCGACTCACAACATAAACCCGCCATCACCGAGTGTAATGAAAATCGCCACATGGCCACACTTTAATTATTTTTACCTTGTTTCCAGGTTTTTCTTAATCAATGAAAAATGACATAATCTTTGCCACCGGCGACAACGACATTTTTCTGTATAAAATTTCTGCGTAATGCATGTAATATTTCATTTTTTTTGACCGTTTTTTTAATGGTCTTTATAATATACAAAGTATACAAAGTCCTCGCCACAAAAAAAAAAAAAAAAAATCGGTTTGACATATTAGACTGCATGTGTATAACCTTTTTTATGGGCAGCAATGATTTTTTTATATTTATATCAAATATATTGCCATTATCATTAACCAATAATCTTCACTATTTTAAGGGCTGACCAGCATCATGTAACCGAGATTCTCATATTGAAATGGAAATCTATAAATAACTCTGGGTAGATCCGGTCTTAATTGGATTTATAGTGATGCTGATATAAGGAAACAAACAAGGAATGTAAAATTTGCACCAGTTAGGTGAAAGCTTGCGTTATGTTTATCCAGTTATTACCTGTCATTCCGTCAAGCAAAACTTAAATGACTTAATCCCATGATCTTTTTTTACTAGGTTTTGATTCTTAGAAATTACCGATTGGAGCCACGAACTATTTACCTAGCATCATCCTTATCATTCATCATCATTATCGTTATTAATTTTAAAATTACCCAGTGCTATTTGCATTCTTTTGATCAAACGTCAAAACTACCTTTACTTATTGTAAGTTACACGAAAACTTAATTGAAAACCTTATTTTATATCAGGTGTAATTTTTTTTATATAAATTATATCGATAACGATGTCGTTATTAGTCATATTAATTTTACGTACGTACTGTACGTCGTGAGTATTAAAAATCTTTTGCATGACATTCCCGTCTCCCCTTATCAAGATACATATGTTCTTGTTTTGTAAAACTTTTATTCCCCTATTTTATGCCCTGTAATGTGTACTTTCTTGTATTAATAAACGCAATAACTTTTTGTCTTATTACATATTCCATTTTACGTGTAATTTTTCCATTATTACAGCTTTGGAAACTTGGATTCTATTAATTGTTTTTGAACGATGGCTGAAATTATTATCACCTCATTTTTTTTAAGAAATTCAGATGTTGTCAAGTGCTAATTTTCGTTTTGAGTGAAAAATATCCTTGGCGTCACTATCTTGACTTATTTACTAATTGTTTGGGAAAAACGAGATATCTTTCTGCCTTTTATTTAAATAAAATATTATTTTTTTTTTATTTTTTTTTTCTATTTAATTTTTTTAACTTGCAGGATTAATATGTCTTAACTAGTTTAGATTCTATCTATATTTAGTAAAAAGACGTCAACTATAATTGCTTATACTGTTTGTTGTCTAAACAAAAGATGTAAATTTTTTTCTTTTACAACATACTGTGTACAGGATGTTTATTAAATTTTTTTTTCTTTTGGTTTATTTTATTGTATAATTATTTAACATATATATATAGTATATATACGTTTATATATTTCAAATTAATTAATTTACTATACTATTATAGTAAATACAATTAAATTACTGTAACTTGATTTAAATTAAATAATCAAATTTAAAATTAAACAAATTATTATATTAACCAAATTAAATTTTAATTTTAAATATATTTATATTTTTATATTATATTATTATTATATATATATTTGTATTTATAGTACTAATCAAAAAAAAGTTACTTTTTTTTTAACTTTTAATCTTAAAAGTTATAGTTTTAATAAAAATTAGTTTATATAATTTTTTTAAAAATTTTTATAATTTTTACAACAGATTTTAGATAAAATCTATTATATATTTTTAAATATTATTTTATTTTTTTAAAAAAAAAATTAATTAAAATAAGTAGAGTAACAACTTTAATAATTAAACCTTTTTAAAAATTACTATATTAAAAGCTAAATATTTTTATACTAGTAAAAAAATTTAATTTAATTTAATTTAAAATATGTAAAATTTTACAACTAAGCATTTCAAAAGATAAGTAATAAACTTTTAACTTGTCAGCAAATAATGTATAAGAACTATCTCTAAATAACAAGTGCTATAGCATAAATTGTTACCTAAATTACAAGTTATAACTAACCCAGTTACCAACTTGGTACCTATGTTCAACCTGTTATAGTAGGATTCTCCTCCTTCTGAACTCTTTTTACAATTAGATATGATCTGAATCTCAACAAATAGTACCTATCACCTGTCATGACTATCTCTCTTTTCTTTCAGACTTCTTCCACCTAAGTCCGACAACATAATTAAACTCTTATTTGTACATAAAAGTGAAAAAATAAAGCTATATTTATAAAAAATATAAATATTTTTAAAAAAAAACACCTCATAGTAGAGCTTGGACCCAGATATATGTTTATCTGTTTAGGGGTGGGTATCTTTTTTATAAAAGTTGTATCCAGAAAACTATCAACTTTTAATTTGCAGATAACCGAATAAACCCTAGAGAAAACCAGATACTTTTTATGGATAACTAAATAGTTCACAGATATCCAGATAACCAGATAACTTCAGGTATCATGAGGACAAAATAGATAAAATACTTAAAACACATATATATTGAAAATAAATATTTAACTTTATTTCATATTCAGATGATTTAATTAATATCAATATGCTAATCAGCATTAATGGTATGATTTATTTGATAAAAATACAGTATGCTAGTGTCATAGTAATATATAGTATGTAGTAAAGTTGTATAAAAATGAAGGTAAAATGAATGAACAATCATTGTCTTGTATACATAATACATATGACAAGTAAGTGATCGATTAGGATTAAGGGATCGAGTAACGATCAATTATGCAATCAAAGTAAGGTTATCAGTATGTATAAAATATGAAGTAATTTATTAGTAATATAAGAGTTAAAGGATTATATAATCGTATATGAATAAATTATGATATAACCTGAAGTATATATATATGAGCAAAGTGAATGTAATAGTAGTAGTGTAGGAATTAGTATTAGTCCTTTTCTTATTTTAATTAATAAAATCCATTTGAGTAATAATAACAAGTACCTGCCTTAGTATAAACATTGAAATCGGGTATAGCGAAGCAATTAAGTGCTTGCTGTTTGGTCTAGATTGTTTGTGATGAAAGTCACAGATTAATCTGCAATACTAGAGATATGCCAAAGCCTGTAAATTATCTTTTCATCTGTAGACCAATCTGGGGCAAATTTGTCCCAGATTATTATTATAAATTTGCTTTTGATTTATTTTTTAAAAAATTAAAATATTGAAATAAAATTTTTTTTTTAAAAATTTTTAAAAATAAAGTTAATATAATTGTAAAATTTAATTTTATATTATAAGAAAAAAAATTTTAAGCTAGTTTTTTTTTCTTTTTTTTTTTTTTTTGGTGTTAAGATGATCTCTACAGCCTGGAGACTTTTTATTAAGTAAATATATAACATTTTACAATTATAATGAAAGTACATCAAGCCACATGTGCACCTTTTGAGTGCCTATTTAAGTAGTCCACCTGAAGGTTCTACACTATCTGCCATACTTGTACCCCAACTAGGGGGGTACCCATTTAAACTCTCTGGTTACAACCGCTAGCTACATTCCACCTAACCAAGGTATAACTTACTATTCGATGATAGCTTTTGTGACACCTATAGATTTCACACCCTACCTTAGGACTTACTAACTATTTTGGATTTATCAATCCCTGTTTTAAGACCAACTAACTATATATGGCTAATCTATCCACGAGATAAACCTAACAAAGTAATCCATGTCTCGCACATGTTTTTATCTGCATGTTTGGTAATTTCATCCTAATTAGTACCTGTTGTGCTACCGTCACCTGGATTCATATCTCAAGCTAACCTTTGGGGTGTTGCCGTAACCCGACCTGTATCTCAAGCTACAACCTTTCTAATTAGTTGCCCATTACATACTTCTTGCCCTTGTAAAGTTCACAACAACCTCAGTACCCACATTTGGAACCATCTCCTTACCTGGATTCTCTATTGGTTCCTCTCTTACTTCTAGCTAGCAACCCAGACGGGTTGGTTTGCCTAGGCTTTAGGTGCCTGAAGGATGCTCTCTCCTTGGTCCATACTTTCAGAGCACATACTCTTTTTCTCTAGTGCAACAACCCAGTGGTTCAGCTAATATGTCCTCCACCATAGGACCTGGTTGCTCGGTTCTCTGATCTCAAGCCCCGATTCGAATTTAGCCCTTTTGTAGTACTATCAAAGTTTATTGCTACATCCTAACTTGGGACTTGCCAAACAGGTTTTCGGTTATTCTGGTTTCTCGGATTTTATTGTGCCAAAGCTCTCATTACTAGATGGTGTGACCGAGATTACAGATTAAGATTCAACCAATAATTGACAACTATTAACCGTAATGCAGATCCATTTTTCAAAATTGTTGTCTATGGGATTCGAACTTTAGACTGCTGCTTGGGAGGATGACAACTAACTAACTACACTAAGTCGCCATACCTAAAAATTTTAAACTAGTTATAAACCTAAAATATCTAATTTTATTAAAAAATTTGGTTAGTTAAAAATTTTTTATTTATACTTTATAAACTTTATAAATATTAAATTTAAATCTATAGTTTCTAATATAATATTATAGTTTAAATAAAGGATTACAACTTTTATTATAAAAATTTTTTAATTTTATTTGTAAAAATAGTATTTACATTAATAGTAAAAAAAAATTTTATAGATAAAAATATATAGAAACTTAAAAAATTTTAAAAAAATTTAATAGTAAATATATTGAACTTAA